GGGAGGGCCTACAGATGCAACTGTGGGAGGGGCCGGGGGGGGCCAACTGGGAGGGGCCAGGCAGGTGAAGGCCATGGACCAAGCGCCATGGGGAGGAGGAGGGATTTTGAGGGGGAGGGAGAGGGGATTTTGGGGGGGGAGGGGGTAGGCGGAGGGGGAACTCATGATTGCTTGACATGTGGCCTTGATCGGCAAAGGTCTATTTTTTCAAAAAATTTTTTTTTTTTTTTTAAAATAGATCGCCTGGGCATCGGCAAAGTTATTTTTGATTTTTCTCGAGAAATTCTTTGTTGATTGCCATTCTGGCGATTGGCCAAAAGGCTCTTTTGCCAAGCGTTGCGTTGAAAGAATTAATTAATTTTTTCGTTTGATCCCAGTTTTGATGCCTTTCATGAGTAAGTACATGATATATTCCAAGTTTGGGGTCATTTTGATTTATTTTGCTATATTCCATTGATTTTTTTTTTCTTTGATTTTTTAAGCGTGACTCAGTTTGAGCTGCGGTACATGAAATAATGGAATCCGTGATTGAAAATGATATTCATGATGTTTGGAGCATGTTGAGGCCGTGTCTTGGGCCTCGCGTGAAATTCGGCCGTGTTGGTGCCGGAACACGCTTAAACCCTGCAGCGTGAAAAATGTTTTAAATTTTATAAAATCGAAGCGGAGTCCGAAAATAGCGAAAAACGTGTCTTGTCATCATGCATGGTAAAATTTGAGAAAGTTTCGAGCAAGTGGCGGCGTCGGGTGGCTAAACCTGGACATCTCCACATGTGATCCGCTTGCTTTAAAACAGCGACATTATACTGTTTTAGCCACCGGCGTCGCCACTTGCTCGAAACTTTCTCAAATTTTTACCACAGCCTCCGCATGCGATGACAAGACACGTTCATTTTCGGATTCGTTTGATTTTATAAAATTTAAAATAAGGCGTGTTCGACACCAACTTAACGCGATCATGACACGGCCTCAACATGCTCCAAACATCCGAATGATTCATTATTTCATGTACTGCTAGTTCAAAGTAAAAATCTACGGAATATAGCAAAATAAATCAAATGATCATGTAGAGGCAACACAAAATGGATCGAAAATAAAAAGCATTCTTTCGATCGCTGGGGAGGATGGCGTTGCAAAGTCGCGCTGCTTTGCCGATCGCCGACGGAGTGGTAGTTTCATGTGATGGCGTCAACCATGGCCCCGCTTTTGGCAAATCTTTTTGCGCTTGGTTGACTGCGCAGAAATTCCAGGTTGGCAAAGGACCTCTTTGCCGAGTGTCGAAAAAAAAACAGTTGGCAAAGAAAATTGCAGTCGGCAAAGAGCCAGTTTCCTGTAGTGATGGGACATGCATTCCTACTCTATATTTGGTTGGGAGGATGAAAATGAAGAGGATACATCATTATTTGTTATCCATTAAACATCCTATTCTTTTTTTCCATAGTCACCCAACCGCAGCAGCTTCGAACACAGCTGTCACGTCCTACCCTACACCAAGGCCATTACCATGCTCACACAGGGGGCGATGCTGACCGCGTGCACCAAGGTCACCCACCCTCTTCCATGCCACCATCTCCTCCAGAACCAGGGCGAGCGTGGCCACTGCGAGGGGACCAGCAGGCATGGCCAACAGGAGATGGAAACAGAAACAACACTTGGCAAAATGATTGATTTTTACGATCGATGGGTTTTGATAGTATGCTCTAAAAATCATTTTTGACTGCTTGTAAAAAACATTTGTGTGGTAGTGAAAGACAAGCACATGGCAACAGAATAGAACGACATCGATAAGGGATAATGAACTTGTACCTTAGTTTTTGAGGGACGCTGGGCACATTATCTTGAGGGAATATTCTCTTCTAGGGATGTTCTATCCCATCTGTCACCGAACCAAACATTGACCCAACAATAATCTTCATGGTTTGGGGATCTGTTTGCCATACATGGTTGATGGCTGTTGTAGATTGACCTTGATCTTCCTCCCTAGTGAAGTAGCCAAAAAAGTGTGTTGACGGAAATATAGTCCCTCAGCTAAAGGCAAGGATGCCCGAATCTCACGAGGATCACTCGGACCACTGTACTCGAGGATCGAATCACAATGAGGCAGGGATAAACCAAACCGGCTTAGCCTGTTTTGGGCCTCAAAATAGCTCATAAGAAGGTGCCTTGTCGAGGAGGCGCAAGTGCAACTAGCGTTTTTCTACTGTCGGTGAGCTAAGGCCACCAAAAATACCCACAAACATCATCTGAGATGCTTGTAGAACAGCATGAGGGGCATGGAAGAGTTAGAGTATGTCAAAAGGTAACATAGTATATTAGTTTTTTTTTATTGATTGGATACCTCAATTGGTTGTGATCCTATATATGTTTCCCAAAATCGTATTTTCGCCATTCAAACTCCAAATTAGACATTCTATAGATGTTTTCGATCATCTTGACGAGAGGAATCCAATGTGAAGTCCAATTTGCATTTTAAGAAAGTGCAAAACCAGCTTAACCTATTTTTAAAACCTTGGATTGAAACCACTGAGCCATCAATAATCCATCCTATCACTAACGAGTATGAGAACCGACAGTGATAGACATACCACTGCCAGTTACCCTCTGTTGGGTCCTAATCTAGCTGTGATGCTAGGTAAGGACCCCAACAATGATGCATAGATCTAGAGTAGTGTTATAAGGCCATGCAGAACGCGAGGACGTGGAAGGCGCTTGGAGGCAGTTTTCTCCGTTTCTTTGCCAGGATGGAACTTGTTGCATTGCTTTTGTTCGGCATCGCCCCTCAAAGAGGCGTTGGACGCTTGGGCAAAAACATACGGAGAGGCCGGCTGTTTGAATTGTGCTTAGCGCAAATGTAAGGGCTTCAGCAATAGATTTGTGGGTGCTTAATGAAAATTTAGTTTTCTCTCTCTCTCCTCTGAAGCGTCTGTCATATTGTAGAAGCCCTAACACTACTAGCCATTGTCCACATTTAGGGCATGTTTAGCGCAGCTTCGACCAGCTCTAGCTCCGACTCTGCCAGCAAAACACCATAGCAATACTATTTTCTATTGTAGAAGACCTAATTTCTTGCTCCTACTCATCAAAATTAGCCGGCAAACCAGAGGGCTGTTGTGCAAGCTGTTTACTCCAGGGCTTATGAGCTCAGTGCAATGGCAAACATAGTGGCGGAGCTAAGAAGCCTTCTGTCTCTGAACTTCATTTCGTGGCAAGTCCAACACCGGCCTCGGGCGACCAACAAGGTGGCGCACAAGCTAGCTGCTCTTGGTAGTACTTGTTCTTTGGATGCTAAACCCATTTTGGTTCCCAAGCTAGCTGCTCTTGGTAGTACTTGTTCTTTGGATGCTGAACCCATTTTGGTTCCCAAGCTAGCTGCTCTTGGTAGCACTTGTTCTTTGGATGCTGAACCCATTTTGGTTCCCAAGCTAGCTGCTCTTGGTAGCACTTGTTCTTTGGATGCTGAACCCATTTTGGTTCCCATCCCTTTGTGTATCCACTATGTAATTGCTGACGATTCAGCATCCTTCGAATAATGGAAATTCATATTTCCCCTAAAAAAAATCAGCTGGCAAACCAGCTGAGGGAGCCATTTTATAGCTTAGGTGCAGGGAGCTAGAGGCGGTCGTTTACCAAACATATGCCCTTTTTTGAGGGTTTTAAAAAAAAAAACTGATGAAAATGTTCACTCGTACACTCATCATTACAGATCGATGATCTGCACACTAATAGTAGTAAAATTAACTTTAATTGACGAATAGTTGGCTAACATGTTTCCTACGACTCAAACAAGTAGCCACGTATTAATAAAACACGTGACTTCAAACCTCTGGGAAATTGGTTCTGGAGTGCCAGTAAAATAACTTTTCTACTCTTTTAGTTGCTATCTATATCAAATTTGTTATTGATGCATGCAACTTCTATACCACTACCCTAGAATAGGATATCACTGCCACAAAAAAGGCATTGGCGCCGGTTCTATAAATCGGCAATGATAGTGATATAAAAGATAGAAAACATGTGTTCTCATGATTCGATCTGCATTCCTGTAGACGCACATACCAATTGAGCAACATGACAAAAAAATCTTATATTGTATATTTGACACTCAAAATAATCTATGAAAAGATTGTTAACTACGCTATTTTTTTTAACTACATATTTTTGAATTTTATATTATATATTTGACACTCAAAATAAAAAAATTGTTAACTGCAAAATTATAGATCTCATCGAGTACTATAATTTTGATGTTGACTTTGTCTCCAAACATTGTTAATCGTGTCAAATCTATTCCGAGAACTTATATTGAGTATTTGGACATATAAACATTCTCAAATTAAAAAGTTGTCAACTACAAAGTTTTAGACCTCTTTAATAAAATCTACAATTTTGACATAAAGTTTATCTTAATCTGATCTACATACTACGTAGAAATTTGGTCTAAAGGAAGGCAGCAGTACTATCGTTATTTTTATTTAATAAGAAAATCAAATCAAATCATCGCTCGAGAAACTGCAGATATTATCAAAGTATGCGCATTGAGAAAAACGGTTGTTTCAGTGATACATGGCACGTAGTCTCAAACTAGTGTCATGTTCGCTTGGCTGATAAACCATGGCTGAAAGTACTATTGGCTGATTTGTTGTGAGAGAAAAATATTGTTCGTTGGTTGAAAAAGTATGGCTTATAAGCCAAGCGAACAAGGTGTAGATATGACATCTTAACCAAGACGCTGTAACTGAACTCTAATGATGAGTCGATGACACGCTACTACGATCCATGTTCCATGATGACGACAACGACGACTGCTGACTATAAAATCCTCAGCTCTAACTTTTATTATTTCTCCTGACAAAAGAATCGATTAACCTCTTTCTGCTACTTATGGCTGTCATCGACCTGCAAAAAAATCCAAAAATAAAAGGATGTTATATGACAACAATTGGCTTGCTGATAAACTAATAGTAACTGAAAAAAAAATGAAATGGAAAAAAGGCAATACCCTAAGCCTTCTTCCCTGGCGCCGGTGTTGGAGGTTTGGGAAGCTCCATCGGTGGTATTTGTTTCCCTGTTCAGTGTAATGGTATCATAGCACATTAATTAGTTGCATTATTACAAGGATTATTAGTTTCTTGGAACTAAACTGTATATATGACTTACTCAATTCGTCGTCGCTGCAGATGCCGGAAGATGTCTTTGGGTCTATTCCTAAACACGCTTGCACGAGGTACAGCGCGCGCGCGTGGTCTACCGGCGCCGTCAGAAGCTGGTTCACGTCGCCGTTAATGATGTGGCAGAGGCAAAGAGGAGCATAGATGCTCGGATCGCCGCCGCTGATGAATCGACTGACGCCGGCGCAGCACTCCGTGCTCGGATCCTTGCTGCTGTTGGTGGTGAGGAAACCGGAGCACGGAGGCATCAGCATCACCAGCGATGCCTTGCACTCCTTTGGCCGCGGCGGCGGCGCAGGCGGCGTCACGTTGTAGCAGGGGATGAACGGGATCTTTGGAAACGCGGGAGGGCATGGTATAATTGGCGGCAGTGGCAGGTCAGGGATCTCGTACGTGGCCGTCGGGTGCAAGACGACTTCACCGTTGTTGGCCGATTGTGCAGGAGCCGCCGCGGCGGCCTTGGCTGCTCCTCCGTCTCTGGCGGCCGCAGATTGGTGCAGCAGGCTGGGCGCGACCACGGCGAAGGCCACGAGCAACGCGATCAGCGTGTAGTTGCTAGAGGGCGCCATCGATCTTTTTGGTCTTTGGATGGATGCGCGCGTAAACTTACGGTGGCTTTCGTTGGCTTGTGTGGTATGGGATGAGCCCTGAATGAAAAGGAAAGGATCAATTTATAGGAGTATCCTGGTGGTGTTTTTAGGGTTGGCATGCCGTTGAGATATCTCTCTGATTCTTCTCGTACTAGATTGTTGTATATTTGTTAGGTAGAGTATATCTACATATGCAACTGTAACAACAAGTAGAAAGCGATCTTGTTAGATATCAGCAGTTGTAATCCCAACTCGCAGCTTACTTTCGTTCTGTTGTTGCTGTATATTATGGTTGTTATATGCGCACGATCTGCATAACAGACGGAATCAAGGAAACAGAAACAAGATCACAAGGCAGAACTCTGCTAATATATCCGGAGCAGGACACGATGCATGCAACGAATGAAATTTAACGCAAGCTGTAGCATCATAATAATCACAAATGAACTTTGCACAAGTTCCATTCTTCAACATCCCTGCGGAGACGCTGGACATGAGTTACGAGTTCATGTGGTATTTAATTTTATGCTAAATCTGTATATCACTCGGGTAATTTTTTTTTTTGCCTCTTGTCACTCGAATCTGTGGGCCGTCCGATTCCTCTATCTTCTGATCTTCGCCGTCTGTCTTTCTTTTCTTTTTGTTCTGCCCGTCTGTGGCATCGGTGAGTCACGGGGCCACGCCCTTGCGGCCGATGGAGCATAGTTTTAAATAGCGGGTTATTGAAAATAGCGGTAACTTTTTTTCAACAGCTACGAGGCTATAGCGGCGATACGATAGATAGCGTTTTTATAAAGAAAATATGAAAAACACCAATAATTAATGAAAAAACATGGTAAATATGAAATTCGATGAACACAAATATGTTTATAAGGTTCCATAAGTCTAATGATTCATGAAAGTCCAGTGTTTAATTGTCCAAAATACAAAATTAGTAACAAATGATAAGTAGAAAATAACAAATTAAATTGTCAAAATCTATTCGTGATGGCAAAATCTTAAATAGCGCCGCTATTTGAACGCTAAAGCTAAGCAATTAGCGGGGCTATAGCCCACAATAGCTGTTAAAGTTGGCATAGCGACACAAATAGAAATAGCTTAGCGTTGAGTCTCTCCGGCCGCTATAACGACGCTATAGCCCGCTATTTTTTTTCTATGCCATGGAGACACAACTGCAGCCGATGGAGACGCAACTGCAGGCGCATCATGTGCATGTTGCTCTAAACCTGCAACCATGCACCGCCGATGGAGTGCATGCAGTTACCTGCTGCTTCGCAGGTGAAGGGACAGGCTACCCCATCAAATCACCTATCCCCTAACCATATACTATATGTAGAGTTAAATACGCTGGCGACCCTTAAACTTGTGGCCCTGTACCATTTAGGTCCACAAACTCTTAAAACCGAAATCTGCCCCTCCCCGAACTTGTTAAGTCGTGCACCGTCAGGTCCATACCCCTTCGAGAGGTGATGACTAGGATATTTTTTTTCGCAAAAACCACCCTGCCCTAGTAATCTTCTACCTCCGGTCATCCTTACCCAGGCTGTTGGAAATGGCAGATCATCCCGTCCCCGCTGGAGACGTATCTGTGCTAGCTAGCTAGCTAGCTCTTACATGTACTGGATGGCACCTGCAGGTGCCCGGCGAGGCTCAAGTGACCGGCGTCGCGGCAAGCTGCTGGCGCTGGCGCTGCACCGCACCGTGCTGCTGCTCCTCGCCGTGGCGCTACCCATCTCCCTGTTGTGGGTCACCACCACAGGTTGTGTGGTCAAGCTGTAGGGACAGGATGAGGGCATGGCGGACGCGGCGCAGACATTCGCCGCGTACGCGGTACGCCTTGGCCAACAATGTGGTGCTGGCCTTGTTGCACCCGCTGCGCGTCTACCTTGGGACGCAGAACCTGACGGTGCCCATCACGGCGTGCTCCCTCTTCTCAGTACTGCTGCACGGGCCCATCTGCAACCTCATGATCGTGCCCTCCCTCCTGGCTAACCCGCGCGTCACCATTGCGTCCATGGGCATCCTCGTCCAGGCCACATCGCTCGTCTACCTGCCCTATCCTCGCTGGGCCAGGACGCGTCCACGTGCGTCAGCCACTAGCTAGGCGCGGGCCGCCCCATGGGGATGCGGCTTACCTCCGGCGCCGCCCTCCCCATCGGTGTGGGCATGGGCCTGGCAGTCGCCACCTTCATGGTGTCCGTCCGCAGCCACTGGGGCCGCTTGTTCACGTCGGACATGGACATCCTCTTCCTCACAGCCGTGGCGTTCCCCATCACGGGCCTCTGCGAGCTCGGCAACTGCCCACAGACGGCCGGCTGCGGCATCCTCTGCGGCAGCGCCTGCCCTGCCAGCGGCGCACGCATCAACCTGGTGGGCATGCCGGTAGGGGTGGCGCTGGCATTCGGCACCCTTGCGCGTGTATGGCTGGGTCGTCCAGCTCGTGGCATTCATCCCCGACGCTAGACCCGTCACGTTCACTGCCAGGCCGTTGGGATTGACTCATCATCCACCAGCTTGAAGCCTCTCCTGTCGTCCAGCAGCAGCCACGACGCCAGTCGTGGCTCGGACCGGCACTGCGGACAGCTCCGCTTGTGTTGACGAAGCTCATCGGGCGACGTGGAGGGAAAGAAAGCCGGCGGTCGCGGCATGCTGGCGTCGAGCGGCTGTGGCGGTGGGTTGGCGTCGAGCGGCCGTAGCGGCTGGCGACCTGCTGGTGTGCCCGGCCGGAGGAGGCCGGCTTGGCCGCTCGGCGACGCGGGCATCGTGGGCCCTTGCATGGGAAGGTATGCTAGAGGTACAAGATTACTAAATAGGGTGGTTTGTGCAAAATTTTATCCTAGTCAGCAGCTCTCGAAGGGGTATAGACCTACGGTGCACGACTCAACAAGTTTAGAGGGGCAGATTTCGGTTTTGAGAGTTCGTGTACCTAAATGACACAGAGCCACAAGTTTAAGGGCCGCCAGCATATTTAACTCCTATATGTATATCTATTCCTTTAGCACGAGCAGATTACATGTTATTGTACCATATTTTACTACTATGGTTTGGTTGTAAGTTCTATGTTCTATTGGTGTAAATTGATTATTCGTAAATGGGAATTGTCAGAATTACTCGAACTGTTATCTGATTTTTTTGGCTTTTCTGATTTTCTATATGTTTTATTTGGTTCTGCTTTGAAATTTTCCAATTTAGCCTCCATATAAATAATCACGTTATTTTTTTGTTTTTTTATTTTCTGTATGTTTTATTTGGTTCTCCTTTGATATTTTTCAATTGGGCGAATTGGCCAGCGGACACTGAAAATAATCAGATTTGCTGAAAGACACTGTTTTTTGCAAAATTTATTGGTGGACACTGCGCCTATTAAAATATTCATTTCTAACTTTGGAGGAGAGAGAAGAGTGGTGAAATATCATTTTTACCCCTTCTTCTTCTTCTTCCCTCTCCCTTTTCTTCTCTCCCCTGCACAGGTAGCACGCCAGCAGCCGCTCCAGTTCCTCCAGCCTTGGTGGCACGGGCGGAGGCCAGGGCAGATGCGTGGCCATGGCGAACGGCGGAGGCCTAGGTGGCGCGGGGACGCGCGGGCGGAGGACGAGCGCAAGACGCGCGGGCGGAGGCCAGGGAGGAGGCACGGCCATGGCGGACGGGCGGAGGCAGGAGGTGGCCTTGTGTGAGCCTTGCGCGGGGAGGAGGCTAGAGGCGGCCTTGGGCCTGTTGTTGCCTGACCTGCCAGCGCGCGCCATGGCGGACCGCCGCCCCTACAGGCACTAGGCGCTGCCCAGGTCAGCGCCGGCAACCAGCCCCCTATTGGCCTGCTTGACCGACAAGTGAACGACCAGAGGTTGAAGAAGACAAGGGCAGTTTAGACATTTCCCCACCTTCTCTCTCCTCTAAACTGAAAAATAAATAAAATAATCGGTGCGGTGTCTTCCGGCAAAGAACCACGAATTTATAATGTCTGCCAGCAAATTTTGACTTTTGGCGGTGTTCACTGGCCAATTACGTGTTTCTCCAGTGTCCCACAGCTAATTTTTTTCTTTCCAATTTGGCTTACATAAAAATAATCTGGTTATTTTTTGTGTCATTTGGATAGTTTTTTTTGTTCATTTGATCTAGATTCAAGGGTCATCAAAATAAAGTGTTGCATGGACAAGAATCACTCGATTTTTTATTTGTTGCCAATGGGGTGTTGATGCGTCGTCCATCACTCGGGTGTCATGGCTCCCAAAAACACTCAGCCCATGAGTAGACAGACTCTAATTTTAGATATCGGGATACAAAAATAATTTTTACATACAGCTCCTATTTCAAACAGAGACAGACGACTTAGAAATCCGCCTATAACCTTGGCGGGGATATCATCACTAGTACAGAAATAATTCGGTCATATTTTAATCCATATAATAGGCGAGATATTTGTGACAAAAAAAATATGTGCATCTATATGGTACGATCCGTGGTTTTCCAGATGATAAACATAATGATCAAACGAATGGATCACATTAGCAATAATTTTTTTGGAGCAAAATCACATTAGCAATAAATAAAAGAGGTTCTTCCTTCAAAAAAAGAAAGAGGCGTAGAGACTGTTTAGATCCATTTCTCTAAATTTTAGAGCTCTAAACTTTAGAGCTAAAATCTCAAACAGATGGTTTAAAGTTAGTTCTAAATTTTAGTTCACCTCACATTAGAGCTTTAGACCTTAAAAATGAGGTAAAATGCTCTAAAATTTCTAGAGCTCTAAAGCTTAGAGGAGGGGATCCAAACATGACCTTAGTATTATACCATGCTTGAGGTGGGGAGCAGTGCTGGAGGCGCCACTCCCACTTGAGGATGAAAACGGTAGGAAAATATCCTGTACCAAACCGCATCGTTTTGTACATTTAATCCGATCGAATTCGTATTTTCGGACAAATTGAATTCGGTTCTAAATTCGGAACACCAAATTCAAAATCGGAACGAAAACGGTTTAGGTATTT